TCTGTCTGGTTACTGTGACAGAGCTGAGAGATGGCAACTGGATAAACTACAGTGTCATTGCATTGAGGGCAGCTTTATATCCTTTAGCCTACGTAAATCATTTCAGCTAAAATGCTTCAAAACTTTGCGTGGCCACTCATAATTCAGTTGGGTTTTTTTGTTTCGCTGAAACTTGTAGCAAAATGATTTGAACTACAGAGAGAGAGGGTTGCTGAAGCTCAGTTGCACATGTGGAGGCTTGCAGAATTTGCAGAGTATCAGAATTGTTTTGAATTTCTTTTAATTCACAGTTAAATTCATTTGAATATATTTGGATTCACACCTGTAGTAAAAGTTATGGAGCATCCTTTGCATCCAAGTTGCAGACAGAGTCTGAGTTACACTCTGAAGAGAATCACCCCATTTGCAATTTACTACCTCAGGCCTTGCCAACTCTCCTAAACCTTTAGAGATGCTGTAAATGCATTTCTGAGAGTACTTTGAAGAAAGTGAGCTGATAATTTTGGAAGCCCTTATCTATTTTTTGGGTTAATTACATCTATGGATAAGTATTCAGAGTGTAGGATTTATGCATTATGCACATGATGAAAAAAAAAAACACATAAAAGATTTAAATCTATATAACTTTGGGCATTAAACACTCTCCAGGATTCCTTTTCCTTATACTTCCTAGAATTCCATAGGAGGACACAATTTTCTATTTCGCTGTATTAATGTTTGCAAAGAGGAGATCTGCCTTTTTTCCTATGCACTGTTGATTAATCATCAGTGTTAGATTTTGGCGTACACTACCATTTGTTGGAGTATTTTACGTACAAAGACCATGGCTAATATTGGCCTCAGGTGATGAGATGCTGGTATAATAAAAAACACATGCTTTACTTTGTAAATTTGAACATTAGGAAAATCTATTTGTGATGGTCTGAAAACAGGTGCAGGTAGCAAGAGAAATGACTGTAAATTTTGGAAAAAGTGGCTGTGTAAGAAAACCTTTCTGTTGAATGCAATGTGGTGAGACTTCATACCAGCAAGTAGAGAAACCATTCTCTTATCATCCCATCATTTTATTTCCTATCATTTCAGAGAAACATAAGACATTATATGAATGCCTCACACTGGAGGAGTAAGATGGTCTTCTAGCAACTGTAGTGTAGTAAATTTAAATGTTTTAAATAACTGAAAATAGGGGAAAATTGGATACTACCAAACTATTGGTCTCTATTTGGAAGGTTACAATGAAGTTCTTCCAGGTGTCCTGCTGGCAAACCGTGCCCGGCCACGGAGAGGAAGAGCCCATCCTCTGCTGTATCCACAGCAGCGTCTGTCCCTAGGGCTGAGTTTTAGATGAAATTCCTCAAGGTCTGCCCTTGAAGAGCGTGCAGTTGTTAGACTTTGTGTAGTGATTGCCAGTTAGACATTAAATTCTTTTTTTTTAAATAATGTCGAGGAAGAAAGACATCTGTTGCCACTCTGCAGAAGGATAGCAGGAGACAGCTCTGATGGAACTGGAAAAGGCATAAATGTAAATTATTTTTCTATTCTGTTCAGAGATGAGCTAAATTATATTTCAAAATGCAAAAGCGGAAAAAAAATATTTTTAACAAATTAAATTTTAACAAATATTTTTAACTTCCTCCCCAAATAAGGAAAGATTAGTTAGTCAGGTAGATTTAGCTCCCTGTTAGCTGAGTGTCTCATTTTCCCCATACCCAGCAGCTGCACAGAGAATTACCCCAGCTTGTGTTTGCAACTCAACCCAGTAGACTAAGCTGCTATTTAATATGTGTTGACTGTGGGTGTGATAAACTCCTTGCTTCTTAAATTTACTTTGCTGCAGAAATTAAATGTTGAGTGAGGGCTTGTCCCACATAAATAATGGGCAGGCTGCGCCTTTCCTACAAGTTCAAGAGGTTCCTTGCTATGTTGGGTCCTGTGCATGAGTGCTGCAGGTCGTTTTTTTTTCCAGTTCTGTTTCTGAAAAGCCGATACAATTTGCTTTGACTGGCTTGATGAACTAGATGTAATATTTATTTGGATGCACTAGAGTTCCTAGAAGGTTTAGATTATATTTCACCTTGAAAAGATTTCATTATTTGGTATTAGTTTTTGCAGTAGCTGCACTCTGAGCTTTTCACAGACAAAATAGTGTCAGATCACAGCTTTGAGAAAGTTATCATCCAAATGAGCTAAAATCGAGCTAAGGATGATGTTACCAGCAGGTATCAAAGAGCAAAAGAGAGAGAGAAAACAAAAAACATGCTCTAAGTTATGCAAAAAAAAAAAAAAAAAAGGAGAGATGGTCTCTAATATAGTAAGTAAATCCTCTGCTTAGCTATGCAGCTTGTTTGTTACTTATCACATACTTGGCTTTTAGTTTGCTCATAATAAGAACAGATGAAGCAGAAGGTTGAGCAGAAAGATTTAAATCTCCACTGGGAGCCTTATTCAGAAAGAAAGACTGTAGAGGAAGTAGCAGGTAGTGTTTTGTGTAACAAAATCACCCCATGAATGAGGTCATTGGAAATGTAAACATGGAAAGGGACTGCCAGAGAGGGCATGGGATGAGCAATTCATCCTCATGACTAACTGTGGAAGTGCCTAAGACTTCTTGCTCACCGGTGGCAAAAACGGAGGTGTTGTAAGAAGAGGGTGCGTGAAGTGAAGGAGTAACCCCAGCAATCTCCTCGGCTCACTCACCTGTGCCCCTACCTTCATACGTGAGACAGTGTCTTGTTTTGACCAGCTCTGTTTTATGTTGATCATCACCTGATGAATAATCATGTGTTTTCTGACAATGATTAGTACCTCTGGTTCTCCCTCCAGACAATGAAAAATAAGTAAATAAAATGAGTGCTCCTGTGAGGTGGTTGGTTGTTGGAGAAAAAGGAAATCAAGTGGTCAAAACTCTTACGTGTTTGAACTCATATTATCTGCTAAACAACCCAACTTCCTCACAGGTGAGTGAACTTATTTTTATTCTATGTTCTTGCAAGAGCAACATTGATTTCTGAGATGGATATTGTGAGTCATTTTGACCTGGAGTTTGTTTTGTATCTGATACTCTTTGTCTATTACATAATCCAATTTTCTTGTCAAGGGTAAATGCTCAAAATGCACACGCCTTCTGACAGAGAGACCGTCCTGGACTAAGCTACCCGTTACATCATTGCTCGCAAATGAGCTGAAAGGACCTTTTTAAATCCATTTCTCAATGTTCTGCTTAAGTCAATAGATTGACCATTTAGTCCAGCAGAGAATTTGGCCCATGACAACTTAGCTATGTAATATTCAAAGCAAAATGCAGAAAACCAAAGAACAATCACACACCCCAAAGCAGAGCTACCCAGAGCACAGCATTGTGGCACTTACAAAACACATCCAAGATAAATATGGCTTGGTCACTAATGCCTCCTGATATTACTTTTTTATCTGCCATTGAAATAAAAAATATTTTGTCAAAAGCCCTTGAAAAAGCAAGTATTTTTATAGTTCACTATTCAGAAGGCACCAACATCTACCAAACACCTGAAAAGGTCTTTTTCCAGTCACTAAGTCTTTGCAAGGTTTCTTTCCAAAAGGTATTTACTATGCAGAGATAAATCAGAAGAAATGAAGTGAATCAATAAGGTGGGGAGGTTAAAAGGTTGCTTATGGCAGACAGGCTAAGAACAGGAGCTTTCAAATTCTTAAATTTCTTAAAACGTGGAATGAAGGCTCTATGTGAAGGAGGACAGCAGGAATGGTCTTGATGCAGTAGCTGTGTTCCTACCTGAACATCCTCTAGTGTGAGGATGTTCATCCGTGTTACTTCAGCTGCATAGAAAGGGGAGAGTCTGGAGTCTTTCCACACTTGTGCTGTAGCCTGCACAGGCACAGGTCAGTCAGGGCTTGTATGGGAAGGCTGCACTTTTATTTTGTGGAAGAACTCAATCTGCACAGCGAGCATCAGTGAGCTCTTCCTCCAGTGGCCCTCAGTGCTTGTCACTTCTGCCTGAGAAGACTGGGCTGTCCCAAAATGAGAGTTATGCACCTGGAGTGTGCTGGCCTCTGTGAAAAATCTCAGCTGTATGCAATTCTGGTTTCTGCTGCTCTCTTCACAAAATACATGCACAGCGAATTATCCCTATCACAAATATTAAATTCTTCCTATGGAATCTAGTAAAAAAAAGTGTGTGTGTGTGTTTTTTTTATTAAACATTGTTAAAGCTTGTTAATAAGATTCCTGAAACACATTTTTTTTTTTCCAAACAGAACTTCAAACATGTTGTAGCCTTGGACACTGTCCGTATTTGCTAGTGATGAACATAGTATCGCCTGAAGCATGACGTAGTTTCTGAAAGTGAGTAAAAGCAAATGCATTGCTAAAGTTTGGAAAAATTTACTACTCCTCATAAATAGATGATATATCTTTCCAATTGCATTCTGAAATGAAAATACTCAAAAAATGTAAAACAACCCTAGCATCACCTTATATCAAATTTATTGATATCAAAAGTTACCTTCGGTGCTATCTCCCTAATATAGTCCCTGCTTTGCTGCTCATCCAGGGGCCTTGGTATGGTCCAGGGAAGAATCCACACTGTTAAGTGTTCTCATCCTAACAGCAGCCTCATTTTCAGAGAAACTAATTTGATAATGACAGCCTGGTTTTAAAATAATAGCCTAATGGAAACATGAAAATAAAAGTTTACATTATCAAGAAAAAAGCTATTAGCTTCCAGTGTTGCATTTTTATTTATACACATTCAACAATATAAAGTTTTTTTCATGAATATAAACAGAGCAGCTTAGAAACTTCCATACCAGGTCTGACAAGTACTTGACTTCACAGCATCCAAAAGAAGATGCAAAGAAACCCCTCACAGTAGGCGGTGACAGGACGACCTGCTCCCAGGAGAACCTTTCTGCTTGATTCCCATCAATCTGTTGTTCCATGGATTTCACAAAGCATGAGTACTTATACGCCTTAAGACATTAATACTCATTTTATAAAAGAATCTGTATTTGTTATTTTGAGTCCTATACATATATAAATATTTACAATGTATTTACAAGAGCTACAGTCTCCATCCAATGCCTTTTTTTTTGCAGATAGTAGCTTCCAGGCCATAAAAAGCCAGCCTCTGTATCTTTCATCTGTTGTGCTGGAGCCACGGACCTTGGCCCCGTCACGGAAACCATGCACTTTGAAACGCTGGGGTAGAAATAGCAGGGAGCCCCGCACGCTTGCACTCCGTTTCACTAAGTCTACACAGGCCTGGTTAATCAAAAACATCCAGTCTTCTCCCTCAGCCCTGAGTTCAGGTTTCCAAGAAGACTCAACTGGCAAAACTTTTGTTCAGTCCCCAACAGCCCCCTTCAGCTTATCACAGACGCTGAAAAAATCCCTTTCCGAATCACAAGTCTTTTATAATGAAATAATAATAATAATAAAGACAAATATTGGTAAGATTAACATCTGTTTTCTCCATTTTGAGAGGCATGACTGAAACACCCAGAAAGAGGAAGGAAAGAAAGAAAGTTACAGGACCTCAGGCAAGTACACTGCTCCCACTGCTTTGGAGCAAGCACGGCAGATAACCAGTGTCAAGATGTATGGAGAAAGAAGGATTGTCAGCTGCTCTCTTCCTGGTATACTTGGGAAAGTATTAGCTTATCCAGAAGATTTTTAAATGAAGGGAATGAATAGCTTATCAGGGAAGGATCTCAGAGAAGTCCGTATGCTCCGTGAAGTAAATAATACCTTGGGAAGTTTGGAGCCAGAGACAGGTAAATTTTGCCAACTATCAGTGTGAAAAGCCACCACAGCACCATTGAACAGTTCATAAAGTCAGATTTATGAAAGTGGGATTAAAAAAAATCAGAACGAGGCAAATTTTGATTTCACTAAGCTCTATCAAAAAAAATTTCCCTGATTTTGATGACATCTTCCCCGATGATGCGTATTTTCAGACAAATTGAACACCTTCCTACCTAATGTTTAACACTCACTACCAATGCAGCTTCCTTTTTCTTCTTAGTACTATCAGCTTAACTTAAGTTCTGATAGAAAACAAAACAAAACAAACAAACAAACAAAAATGAACAGGAAACAAATGGAAACAAATGAAATTGAAATTAAACTCTCCTCTGGAAACGAAGCAGAACAATCCTATTGTGCTGGGGCACTGATTTGTAAGGCAAAAGACTTTTCCTGACATATAAGCTGTCTACTAGCTGTTAGTCATTCATATGTAATTTCCAGGAAGAGAAGTTGTTAGCTTTTGACAAAAGCATATAAATAATTATATGGTACAGTATCTTGCAAAGTGAGTATGAAAAGAGCAGATACAGCAGGTTATGTTCCTGACTAATAAATCTAGACTGTTACTTAAAAACTGCACCTTAGGTGCATAACTCCTATCCTATTAGCAGCATTTTGAGATATAGTTTTCCAAGAACCATTTTTCAATAATAATGTAACAAATACACACAGAAATTTAATAAAAATAGCATGTGCTAGCTTCCCTCTAAGTTTGCAGATGCTCCAAAATGCAAAGTATTCAGTTGTCTGCTAGTGAAAAGCAGACTCAACAATTACTTTATCAGGAAATATTATCTGTCTATCTAGACAACTTCAGGCATGTAGACTTTGCATATAACACTAAAACAATAAAGACAGATGCCCTGCATTCTCAAACAGTTACTGTAATTGAGAACTAACTATCCGGCAACTAAAAAGCACTTTGAAGATTTATGCAAATTCAAGCAGGCAACCTTGCTGTGAATTTAAGTGATGTTAACTAAAACATTAGATAAGCACTTAAAGGGCAAGTCTGTCAGCGCACAGTTTGTAGAATTTAAAATACAAAATAGCTCTTCCTATGATGAATGCTTTACTGAGTTGTTATGGTTCACTTCTGCCCTTCTCACTTTCACAGGCTTATTTATCAAGAATAACGAGCCCTTAAAAATGCATCTCTAGTGCTTATTTTATCTCTGCTCCCACCCCGATGTGCTGGTAGCTGTTCAGGGTCAGACCATGGCAAGCACTGCTAGCTCAGCCATGGCTGTGTACAACCCGAGTGGAATGTGGGGAATGAAATCTCATTTTTCTGGACCCATTACAGTACAGGTCTGACAGGCAGGTAAGGTCCAGCACTGCAAACAGGACACCATATCCATGGTAACACCAAGTAAACTTTTCACCTCTGCAGCACTCTAAATTCGAGTTGTTGTCACTCCTTTGACTTCAGGGCAGCTATCACAGACTTGGCTTTCTAATCAACTTCTTCTTGTGGTTAGTAATAATATTTGCAAATAAATACTTCAGTGTAAAGCAGCTTTTAGTAAGCAATGGCTGATTGGGGTAAATATCTAAGGCATAGCCAGCAAATTCTGCGAGAAATTTGCAAAGGATCTATTCACTGCACTGACGATCCAAAGTACTTTTATTCAGCTTTTAAAATGCATTTAGGTTGTCCATTTCCAATAAGTATTACTATTTTATTGATGATACTGAGTAAATTGCTGTCTACACTTGGGATCTTACCCCATCCAGACTTTTATTTCTGGCATGGTTTTGCATGTCTTATTGCTTGCAGTGCAGACAGCACAGTGCTGCTCCAAACTCATGCCAGGGAAGTGCAACCTTACATTGTCTGGGATGCAATTTGCTAATGGATTCCATAAACCCATTACTTGTGCTGCAAAAACTTAAATGTATTATATCACAGGCTTCCAAATGCTGAAATGAAACTCACTCTGGCAGCATCAGAGAAACAATGCAAACCAAGTCTGCATAAATGTAAATTCTACTATTCTGGAGCAATGTAATATCCATATAAAATCCTTTCCAATTTTGGACTACTTGCTTCTTGGAACCATGCTCCTGAACAAATTTTGGGCAGGGATTTTAATGCTTTGTTTTCTCACTGGCTGAGCAAGCTGTGTGGCTGGGTAGACTAGATGGATACAAGGTACTTTAATTCAGCTTGGGCACTTTTAGAGAAGCTGAGGCTTGCAGAGATTCAGCTTCCAGCATGTTTGCCAAGTATCCCAGATAAAACTGCCACATTAGCCCTTGCCAGCCAGGCAAACAGCATCTAATGATATCAGGCTGAGCAGTGTTTAAACAGCCCTGGAAAGACAGCGCCGAGTGGAGCCTGTCTCCAGCGAAGGGAGTGCCTGACCCAGGGGTTATTAACACCTCATTCCCACTTTCTCCTCCCATCACCATTGACAAATGCTTGGCTGGAAGGAGATGGGCACACAACACAAACCTTCTGCCACATTCCCCCAGGACATCCAAAACCCAGGAGTGGTAATCTGCTGCTGCATGTCACTGTCTACTGTAGCTGCAGTCATGCTTCGCTTTTCCAGGAACATCCATTTCCTGCTGTCCCACTGTGGCACAGTTCCCAACTTCTGCTTCTTGTTGTGCTCTTGAGCATCCCCATGCTTGTGGCAAGGAGTAATGCTGCCTGGGCACAGGGAAGAGGGAAGGAGGCAATAAGAAAATGCTAATCTTGGACAAAGTCGTCATGAGCCAGAAGAGGGAAGAGTTTCTTCCTGTGGATGGTGATGTTCATCTTCCAAGTCAGGGAGTCTAAAGAAAGAAAGAAAAAGCATCATTTACTATTTATCACATCAGAGAGGCATAGGTGATACGCTTCAACTTTTATTCAGCTGCTTATGGTTATTGCCAACAGAATCAATTCCCTCTCCAAGAGATTTCCACTTGAATAATGAACAATTGAATGGCTTTGAAATGCAAGACTGAATAATCTTGATTCAAATAAGGAAGGAGGATGTACAGTGCCTTCCTAGAGCCGAACAGGATTAACAGGGAGAGGAGCCAATCAACCTGAACTCCAGATGTGAATTTAGGAAACATCATGCAGGGAAACAGTAATGGCCATCTCACTTAGGACTTTGTTTTTTGAAGCTCACAGTCCATGCTTAAGACTTCTCAGTAATCCCTCTGATGAAACAAACGTGTAAGGGAACTTGATGCTTCAAGTAGCTGTTTTATTTACATAGTGCCCCACTAGACCCAGAAGAATTCATGAAAAATTAAGCTGAGAGCATAAAATATTAATAGAATGATCACTGGCCCATAAAATCCCTGCAGTTTTGAAAAGGTGTTTTACATGGAATGAAGATTGCATTTTAGAAAACAGCGCACTCTCTCTCTCTCTCTGTCTTTTTCCTTTTTTTTTTTTTAAAAAAAAAAAAGTGCAGGAATTTTCATGCCTCTTTGCAAAATAAGGTGCCTTGAAGACTATGGCCCAAGAGCTTCAAAGAGACTAAACTGCCTCACATGCAGTAGGTTTCCTCAAACTAGTCTCTCAGCACACAAAAGTCCATTGCCAATTAATAACAAGTAAGTGAACTAGATAAAGCCAATCCATAATTGGCTTATAGATTAATAAATAGAAATCAAACTTGGTGGCCTGTTGTTAGAGAAAGTGTAGCACCAAAAGCAGTAATTGGCACTAGGATATATGAGAAATGCAATTATCAGAACAGGACAACCCATCTGGAGACTATGGGGTGATTAAATCTCAGCTTAAATTCTACATCGTAACTGTAATATTTAACTAACGGTAACTCTTGGTGACTCTTGTCCTATATTCTGGGCACTGGGCACTAGTATTTTAGCTGAACTTTCTGATTATGGGGCCTAACAGGAAAGCACTGTCTCAGTTTTCAGAAATTAAGCTGGAAATAATGGCAGCTCTATTAGTGAGATATATCTGCTGAAAGTCAGTCCTGGGATGTTTGAAATTAGGTTTATCGTACAAACTTTAAGGATTAGCGTTTCCTAGACTGCAAAAATAACGGGACCACATTGCTGCCAGCGTAAAGCAGTCTCTCATGTTCTCATGTGACTACTATTTCAGTTTAAATGGTAGACTGAGCCATTTCTAGAGTTACAAAACAGCTAAAGGAAAAGTAACTCTAAAATACGCATTTCTCGATGTTAAAATTATTGCAGGATGACTGTGCCTGTCACTTGAATAGAGCTGATACTTCATGGAAGTATTTTTACCACCCTGTTAGGCTATGTGCTATGAAATGCCCTTTTGTCTCAGACATTCACCCCAAAAACGACACTGACTGGGCAGAAGTGAATTTTGGATGAACCGGAATTCTGACTGTCCTGTAACAGCAGTGACAACCACAAACTCCTCCACTTTGGTTCCTGCCCCATCTTGTCTTTTCCTACTCCCCCACTGGGCAATGAAAGACATTTCCTTTTTTATTTTCTTTATTTTTAAGGTACATGAAGGTCGGGTTGTTTTTGTCACCAGACCCCTGCTCATGAGAGGAAAGGCAGTGCTGCTGTCCAGGCACAGCATTTTGTGGGGCAGGCAGCTGCAGGAAGCTCCAAAACCCACCACCTCCATCATTTCTGTTTGTGCATCTCCCTTTCCTTTCATCACAGAAGGATGAGCGGGAAGAAATGATCAGCTCAGGAGAACCCTTTCTTCTCCCTAACTTAATTTGGGAAAGGCTTTGTCATATAACAGCACTTCTTTAAGCTGTCAGCCTGATACCTGACAACTGCTCTTATCTCCAACGGCTTGAAATGTTTGTGTGAAAATGCATCCGTCTCCCTTCCTCCCCACTCTGCTTCCAGGGAGAAAATTGCCTCTGGAGAAATATCCTTATTTTCAAAGTGATACACGTTCTGTGTAGTTTAAAATTATTTCAAGTAAGTTAGTGGATTTTACATTACATGGATTAAAGGAATCAGGAATGACAGCTCCAGGTCCACGTAAGAGAGAGACTCAAGTGTTACATTTCTGCATGTTCATAAGGCCAAAATTTACTGTCTACAACTGTAACTACACTAAATGATGTTCTTTTAATACACAGATTATGGACTGGCAGAAAATATAAATGCAAGCTTTCCTATCAAAATGCAACTTTTAAATCCCACATGATAAGCATGGTATTTAGCCAAAGAAGAGATTTGTGTATTGGGAATATCAGAATATAGATCTTTTTCAGTAGATCAGATGCAGAGGAAGAACCCCTTTTACTGGAACCTGCAAATCAGCCTTTTCCTGGGCTAAATTTGCCTTGCTTATTTATGTGGAGTGACTGATCTCCAAGATCTCCAAGCCCAGATGTAACACGTTTGTGTTACCTTCAGTTAAAGGCAGTAAAGCATCCCTCTGTGCAGGGCAAACCACACAACTGATGGTGAGCTACCAGTGCCAAACCACACAGCAAAACCCACAAAACTTCTCCCGCTTCGGAAGGGCAAGATCCACTAAAACCAAACAGGACAGGGAATTTGAAGCCTCTGCAATGCGAGGTGGGAGGCTGCCACAAGCTCTTATAGTCCTAGACACAAGTTGGGGGATAAATGTGTTGCTGGTGACACTGACTCAACTTTACCCTCCTCAGTGTGCCTGAATATAAGCAAAGAGGGGAATGACAGCAAGAGCGAGGAGCGGGAGGCTCTGACAGTGCAGTACAAACACAGTGCACTCCTAAACACTAACAGTTTCAGCTCACGCTGAATTATCTCAGCCACTATAACACAGGACCGAACAATTTTCTAGGCGTTCCTCACACTGAGAATAGCAGGAACAGGGCAGAACGAGCTTGCACAAAGCAGGGCTCTGCACGGGCAGACATCCCTCACCGACACCCACTCTTTTTCATGGTGAGGTCTGACTTAAAGCAGCCAAGCTGCGCTCCTTTTCCTGCCTGCATTTTGGCTCCCGCCTTGCCCCAAGTTTCCACTTTGCAAAAGTGCCACAGCGCAACGAGCAAGGGTGCAAAAGACGGCTTCCCGCTGCCGCTCCTACAAGGAATCCACCAGGAGAAGCCAGGTGCTCGCGAGGAGCACAGGGACACGCACGGAGCGGGCAGAGAGCCTCTGCACACACCTGGGGTTCGGCGGCGCCGTCACGCCAGCTCCCGCAGCGCCGCGTTGGCCTCCTTGGCTTTCTTGCAGGTGTACAGCCACTTGATGATGCGAGCGTTGCGCTCCACGATGGACGTGCTGCTGGGCACCTGCTCCGTGAGCTCGTCCTCCAGCAGCCCCTCGTCCCCGCTGTGCCGCGTGAAGTCGCTCTCGGACGTCGCCACGCTGACGCTGCGCACCTTGAAGGAGACGCCGTCGGAAGCCGCCGAGAAGTTCTCCCTGCCGAGGTCCTCGATGACCTCCGGGTCCAGGCCGCAGTACGTGAAAAAGGGGTCCAACTCGGAGAAGGACTTGGAGTAGCGGGAGCTGATGTCCGACTGGGAGCGGTGGAGGCCTCTCCGCGTGCCCTCCTCGGGCGCGGGGGGCAGCCGTGAGGGTCGTCCACGTGGTGCCGGGCGCCGGCCCGGTGCTCCGGTGGTGCTCGAGGGGACGGCAGCTGGTTCCAGGCCAGGGCTGCCGGGCTGCCGGGCGCCGCAGCCTGCGGGCACGGGCGCCCTGCTCTCCTCACTGCCGGCCACCTCCATGATTGTGCCGGGCACCTCGTCGGAGCCGAACGGCTTCTCCTTTGGGGGCCCCTGGAAGAGCCTCCGCACGAGGCTCCCTCGCGGGCTGTCCTGGCTCTGGCCTCGCACAAACTCACATTTCTGGCGGTAGATGACGAGGGAATCGGGGCGCACCTGCCTCCTGGGGGTGCCGCGGCGGGCGATGGGGGGCCCGCGGGACACGGGGCCGCGGCAGGCACGCGGCGTCGCGGCCGCCTCCGGCCCCGGGGCGCCCGTGCTCCCGCCGCGCTCCCGCGCGCCGCGGTCGCTCCCCACGGAGCAGCTGCCGCCGCTGCTGCCCGACACGGAGCTGAGGGCGACGACGGGCTCCTGCTTGGTGCCGATTACCTGCTGGCTTTTCACGTACTTGGCCTTATCAGCCGCCAGCCGCTCCACAGCGCTTTTCCTGCCCGGGGTGCCGGCTTCCAGCTGCCGCCGCAGGTACTCGGGCCCCTTGCGGAGCAGCCGCACGGGCAGCGCCGGGTGGAAGTCCGAGATGGCGTGCATTCCCACCGCCCGGCAGATTTCCGTGGGCATAGCACTTCCAGGTGCGCAGATCCCACTTGCAGCCCTGGGAGGAGGAGGAGGAGGAGGAAGAGGGGGAAGGAAAAAAAAAAAAAAAAAAAAAAGCAAAAGCTAAAATAAGAGCAGGAGCAGAAGCAGCTCAGTCTGTGGGGGTGGCAGCGTCCACCGTGTTTACTCCGTGGTGCCGCCAGCCGCGCTCACCTCCAGGAGCCGCGGCCTCGCACGTCCACCTGGCCGCCGCCGCCGGCCCCGCGAGCCTGTGCCAGCCAATCCCGCCCGGCACAGCACCACACAACCCGGCAGGACACGGGACACGGCGCCGGAGGAGTGGCCCCGGCCGCCCGCGCTCCCCTGCCTCCAGCAAGGAGCAGCCCCGCGCAGAGCGGTGCCTTGGCGGGCGCTTCCTCAGTCGCCCGGCCTTGGGGAGCCGGGATGGAGCAGGATCCTGGAGGAGGGCGGAGGAGCCGCCGGCGGGCGGTGCGAGCGTGTGGTTGTGCCGGGGTGAAACTCCAGAGCTGCTTCCCGATTAAACGCTTTGGGCAGAGCCAGCGCTGCCCCAGCCGGGACAGTCACAGCATTTCCTCTTCTCTCCTGCCCCTGGTTTTAGGGATGGATTCTGCCAACCACAGACCATCTTCCCCGCAGGAGCCAAGAGCTGCCGCCCCTGCGCTCTAGCAGGCCCCCATGCTCCACACTGAACTCACCGCGCAAAAAGGAATTTCTGCTGCTCTAATTCGTACAGAGCGAGTGACTCAGGCTCCAAAAACCCAGCGCCCGGCAGGCTGGGGCGTGCGGCGAGCCGCGCGCCGGCGCTGCCACCTCGCTGCTGCAGCCGGCAGCCAGCGGCTCCGGCGGCCCCCGACGTGCCCGTGGGTGCTGGCACCGCGGCGGGCACGTCCCGGGCCCCCTGGCAGCTGTGCGAGCCCCAGTGCCGCGGGATGTGCTCCCAGTGTGTTGTGGGACTGTGTGGATCTTCATCACGTTTTATAAATCCTTGTGCTTGTGAAGCGCTGGGCAGGTTCCTCAAGAGGCCTAATTCCCGTCTAGGGCTGACAGCTCTAATCGGGCAGGACAGAGCCATTTCCTGTAATTTATACATCTGAAAATTCGTCACTTAATCAGAGGGCATCAGCTGAGGCAGTCGGAGTATCCAGTTTTTACTTCTAATCTCACGTGAGAAGCATCTCCGCTGTGCTCATTCTGAAAGGGTCTGCCACATTTTCGGTCTCCCGCTCTGATAAGCCCAATAAAGATAGCCCACAGCTTCTCACTGTTAAAATAGAAAGGCTAAGAGTAATTCTAAGGTAGGAGCTCAGACTAACTCTAGAGTGAAGACCCACTTCCAAAATAACACTCAATAGAAGTGAAATACCCTCCTTCCAGTGTGGTTGTATGGCTGGTTTCCCCCCTGATTTTACCTCTATATTTGTTTTTAAATGTATAGGTCCTAACTCAAGAGGCCCCTTAACATGTGCTTCTGCCTGTTCCCCTTCAGAGAATGGTGAAGCAACTTAAATATGTGGCCATGCACTAATGCATTTGGGGACAGGATACTTGCCTGAATCAGGACAAAAAAAAAAACCCTCACCATGTACTTTGAGATCGTTTGGAGGCAAATTCTCAGGATATGTGAAGTGCATATTTTATGAGAAAGGCTTTTTTTTTTTTTTCTTCTACAGATAAGAAGAGAGAGCTGGCTCATGTAGCAGCATACTTAAAAAATAATGTCCTCAAAAACTAAGGTAATAAAAATTTAAATGTAGTTAATGACTCGGGAGCCCTTCACTTTAAAAACAGCTTGGGCACAGATGCATAACAGTCTAGTTAATACCATTACATATTCAAGTGCTTCATGGGATGCTGGTCTTTCTTACAGAGAAGCCTAATTTCTTTTGACAAGGAAGCTGTGCAATAAACCAATAGATGTAATGCACTTACGACTACAATTGAGATTCCATTCTTTTTCCGTATTGGCTAAGTTGTCTTAAGTTTTTCCTTTGACAGTTTTGAGTCCTATGACATTGTAAAATATACCAACATATCTTCATAGTTTTGACATTTTAACATGTGTTTGTTCCCATATCTTGTATTTTGTAGCTCTGAGCTTTAGAACCTTGCAAAAAAAATCGCAGATATCTGTGATTTGTTTGCAAAATCAAATTTCAAGATAAATATTCTTTCAAAAGACAAGAATGGATACACATAGCTATTAGTAAGAGGAGACTTATTAAGCAATTCCTATTCATGTTTTTAGTAAAACTCAGGATTTTTATCAGGTTTATTAATTCCTTGCTATATGCAAAAGCCACCAGCAAGACTAGGAAAAATATATTTTTGTCGTTGAGCAATAACCATATGTTTAGAGTGGATATACAAAATTAAATCAATATATTTATGATTTTGGACAAAGTAAAGCCTTTAAATGTTAGAAATTAGAAATTTGTATTTAGCTTCAAGTGTCATAGTACCTGCTGCAAGACAAACCTGGATTTTTTGATTAAACACTTTTCAATTTCTTTTATAATCAATTTCCTTCCCCTTTTACTGAGAAAAAGGTGAGATTTTATTATCCACAGAGTGAATGTCATAAGAAATTTCTTATGAGAAATAGCAACATACCTTTTCACCTGACTCTCCTGATAAGAGGGGTATGTATAAGAGGGATGTGGAGCTTCTAGAGAGGGTCCAGCGGAGAGCAACAAAGATGATTAAGGGACTGGAGCATTTATTATACGAGGACAGACTGAGTGAGATGGGCCTGTTTAGCCTGGAGAAGAGAAGGCTGAGAGGAGATCTGATCAATATGTATAAATACCTGAGGGGTGAATGTAGGGAGCAAGGGGCCAAGCTCTTCTCAGTGGTGGCCCGTGATAGGACAAGGGGCAGTGGTTATAAGTTGAAACACAGGAGGGTGACAGAGCCCTGGAACAGGCTGCCCAGGGAGGTTGTGGAGTCTCCTTCTCTGGAGGCCCTCAAAACGTGCCTGGATGCCACCCTGTTCCATGTGCTGGGGGGGCTGGACTAGAGGATCTCCAGAGGTGCCTTCCAATCTCAACCACTCTGTGTTTCTGTGATGTGTGAGATCCCTTCCCCTTTGCACTGTGAGTCCTGGGTGACGATAATGGCACTGCAAGTGTGAGAAGAATCTTCCCATGGACAGGAACTACTGTGAGCAGCCAAGGTTTTCAAGTTTCTCTCCCCTCTGATAATGCACGTTATCAAATGTGTTAATGTATACGCACTATCATATATGCTACTATATATGATAATATTATATAAATATATTCATATCTGACTTAACTCTATCTCAGAATTATTTAGTATGTTTTGTTTAGTAGCACACTCTTACAAAGAGCTAGGCATTGCTTAAGGGATGGAGAGCCAAAGTATTACTTCTTTGTGCAAAGGCTAAGTAAAATATAGCACGAGAGCCAAAACCAGACAGCCTTTGTCCCTGATCCAGCAGAGTCATACAGATGATAAAATGGAAGTAACAGTGGACACTGCAACATCCATCCCTCGGCCCATGAGTGGGTCCCTCCTTGTCAGCGCTGCATTAAGCAGAGGCAAGAGGGGCAAATGCTGCACACTCTAAGTCTCAGCTGACAGCATGAGTTTTTGCACTGACTGGAAGCTTTACAAAACACCTCTGAGTCAGCTGGCATTTGAAGTTATTGCCAAACACAAAGTGGTTGAATCTGTCTCTCATGTTGTGTAACACAAACCACTTTTCACTTTGTTTATATTAATAAAGAGATGTGTCCGGGGCACCTTTTCATGCTGCTGGCAATTGGAAAGCGAGTAAATCTGAGTTGCTGCAACGTGACTGCAGGTAAGAAATATAATGTGTGCAATACTTACCTCATCGCTGTCTACTGCTCCCACCCAATTCCCAGTGTCAGTGGCACTCCTTTGATTTATAGTGGTCAAAGAGCAAAAATGAAGCCGGTAGTACTAGAGTGCCTGTAGGAGGTCAAAGGCAAGGAGCAGATGGGAAGGAATGAAGCCCAAGCACTAATGGAAATGGCAACTGTCCATCTCCTTTTGAGGTTGAAAAGACTCTTACAAACCAACCAAGCTCATACACGTTCGTTTCACCCAACACAGACACAAGCCTGAGCACTTCTTTAAGTAGCTGACACATTTACTAGTAGCATAACTGAATAAACTCTCTTTCACTGCTTATTTACCAACACAGTTTTTTAATAGGGAACTACTATTAGCCTTGTCTTGCAAATAGGTAGCTTTAGTCATGGCAAAGCACTTACACATAATCTAAGGCTAAAGCTCCAAAAAATTTCAGAGCCATACTGGTCCCTGTCATTTCAGAGTCCTTAATTTCAGCATCTTTGTGTCACTGGGATCCTCAAAATCTGACATGCTGATTCTTCGCCTAGTCAATGCCTAAAATTGTCAGTGCATATTTTTTTGTTGTGAAAGACCACAGCGATCTCCTAAATGGCATTAGATGTGCTCTACATTTTTTTGTTAATATCTATTAATCTCCAGCAATGAGTTAAGCTGGTTGCAAAGAAAATGAAACACACACACACACATGCAAAATCACTGCTAGTCACACAGCTCCTTTAAATGTAACTTGGAAGTTCTATAGCTATTTGACCAAAAACCAATGAGAATATTCACAGGGATATTTGGAATTATTCTGAAATTGAACCAAAATGTATTTGACAGCTTTAAATACAAATAATCAATAAACACAGAAAAATCCCAGATGGCATATGAGTAGTTATGAATCTAAGAAAGGAAACTAAAATATGTTAAATAAATTTGTCCAATGTATTAATCATGAATGCAATTTCTAATGTTTAAAGAAATACATATATCAAACACCAAGCACCAAAGATGCCAACTGCAGAACACAATGACAGAAGCTGCAACAGATGAAGATCCTATGACTAAGATTTTCGTCACTTTCATAACACTAATTTGGATGAAATCATGGTTGTTGCCTTCCTAAGGTTTGTTGTGTCTACGAAATACTCAGAATTAGCTAGCAATCTC